CCTTCTCTCTCCCCGCTTTTGGAGTTGCCAGTGTCCATTACATCCATCTTTATGTCCATGTGTACCCACCGTTTATCTCCCACTTATAAGTGAGAATATGTGGTATTCGATTTTCTGAGTTATTTCACTTAGGATAATGGCCTCCAACTCCATCTATGTTGCTACAAAAGATAAGATTTCATTCCTTTTTATGGCTGCATAGTATTCTATGGTGTATGTATACTACATTTTCTTTAATCATCCGATGAGGGACACTTGGGTTGATTCCATGACTGCTGTTGTGAATAGACCTGTGACAAACATTATGAGTACAGGTGTCTTTTTAATATAAAGATTTCTTTTCCTTTGGGTACATACCTGGCAGTAGGTTTGCTAGGTCAAATGATACTTCTATTTTTAGTTCTTTGAGAAATTGCCATACTGTTTTCCATTGAAATTGCACTAATTTACAGTCCCACCAACAGTGTGTGTTCCCTTTTCTCTGTATCCACACCAACATCTGTTGTTTTTTTAATTTCTTAAAGTAACCATTCTGAAAGGTGTGAGATGGTATCTCACTGTGGGTTTAATCTGCATTTCTCTGATGATTAGCAATGTTGAACATTTTTTCATGTTTATTGGCTGCTTGTACGTCTTCTTTTGAGAAACATCTGTTCATGTCCTTTGCCCGCTTGTGGGGTTGGTTTCTTTCTTGTTGAGTTCTTTGTAGATTCTGGATATTAGTCCTGTGTTAGATGCCAGATTTACAAATATTTTCTCCCATTCTGTAGGTTGTCTATTAACTCTGTTGATTAATTTTTGTGCTGTGCATAAGTTTTTCTAATTAAATCTCATTTGTCTATTTTTGATTTTGTTGCATTTGCCTTTGAGGTCTTCATCATAAATTCTTTGCCTAGGCCAATGTCCAGAAGTTTTTCCTGGGGTTTCTTCTAGGATTTTTACTGTTTCAGATGCGACATTTAAAGTTTAATCCATCTTGAGAGCTCCCTCAAGTATTTTTCTTCCAAAGCTTAATCTTCTGACATTGAAAAGAAGAGAACACCCACTAAAACCCCAAACTTCCGTAACAAAATAATTCATTTATTCAACAATTACCTGCCTTGAACTAGGTGGTGAAGACACAATGATAAATAAGATGGAGGTATATAAATATGCAGAAACTAAATTCATAGCACTAATTTTATATTTAAGATGTTAAAATTACTCTTAGAAGTTAAGCTGTACTGCATTACATATACACTGTAGGCCGGGTGCAGCGGCGCATGCCTGTAATCTCAGCACTTTAGGAGGTGGAGGCAGGTAATCATTTGAGGCCAGGAGTCCGAGACCAGCCTGGCCAATATGGCGAAACTCCATCTCTACTAAAAATACAAAAATTTTCCAGACGCCATGGTGTGTGCCTCTAGTCCCAGCTACTCGGGAGACTGAGGCACAAGAATCACTGGAACCCGGGAGGTGGAGGGTGCCATGAATCCAGATCATGCCACTACACTCCAGCCAGTGCGACTAGAGTAATAGTTACTTTTGTAAGCTTTGAAAATAAGTTGTCTAAAGCTGGTATTTTTTTTGTTAGGAAAAAAACATAAAAATTCCCGAGATATATCACATCTCACCAAGGTGTTCAGTTATTGAAACCAGTTAAAAAAGAGTAATTTAGTGTATTATCATTTGACCTTTCTTCAGGGAAACAGGTTTATACTTCCATGACACCTATAAAAATACTGTTTTTTGATGAACTGCTAGGTTTGTCAACTTCAGAGACAACCCACTGAAATTGGAAGTATCACTTCCACCCAATGAAGGCACAGATGAAGAAGAGGAACGGGAATTATTTGGTCTTCAGTTTATGCACACATACATACAGGAGTCACGGAGAAGAGCAGGTATAAGATTTGTATATAACACAGATCAAATGTTCTTTTTGGTAGAGTAATGTGAATATCACTAATTTTTGCCTTTTGATTATTTTCTTATTTCTCATTCCATCTTAAGTTTTCTGTCAAATTCTGTTCTCTTAGTCAATATGGGAAGAAAAAAAGTGAAAGGAAGAGAGAGGTTGTAAAGATACTCAAAGTCTTTCAAGTGGGGGAAGGAAATAAATCCTTTAGCTAAGCATCTGAAGTAAAACCAAGTGAGTAAAGACGTGATTCGAAAAGCTTTGCTACCTCATTCTACCAGCTTGTCCCACATAGCAGTTTAACTATGAACTGACCTTCCCTGTCATTCCATAAGTAGCAAAAAAAAAAAAAAAAATTTACACAGTTTTTGTTGTAGTTGTTTTGTTTTTTAAGAGAGATGAGGTCTTACTGTGTAGCCCAGGCTGGAGTGCAGTGGCTATTAAAAGACACAATCGGCCGTGCGCGGTGGCTCATGCCTGTAATCCTAGCGCTTTGGGAGGCTGAGGTGGGTGGATCACCTGAGGTCAGGAGTTCAAGACCAGCCTCACCAACATGTTGAAACCCCATCTTTAAAATAAAAAAATTAAAAACATTTAAAAAAAAAGACACAATCATAGCTCACTGTAGCCTTGAACTCCTGGGCTCAAGAGGTCATCCTATGTTGGCCTCCAGAGTAACTGGGGCTATCAGTGTATGCCACCATGTCTGGCTGAGAACAGATTTCAATCAACAGTTAAAGTGTGAGGTTTTGATAGAGAGATTTCAATTGCTTAGTCTCTCATAATTTTGAATTACACCACTTTTATTTTTAAATTAAGGAGAGCTTTAAGCTAAACCAAGATCGGGGAAGAGGACAAAGTGCACAATTATTTGTTAATATAAAAAATGAAACAACAGTCATAGAAATTATGGTCTTATAATTTAAAAATGTTAAGAGCTTTTGACTTAAAAGGTAGATTTTAGTTCAACTTAATGCAACAACTAGTTTGAAAAATGAATATTACTGAGAAGACAATGACAGAGTTTTTCAGCTAGAGGAAATAATTTTTACTAACATTCAGTGGCGAATGTTTAGGAAATGGTGATTAGATCTCTTGTAGCAAGGTCATAGAAGCAATAACATGGAGACAGACTAGGGGAAGACAGGCAAAAAGTCATAATTGTGACCTAGTTTTGGAAAGCAGAGAATATAGGAAAGATGATTAGGAGACAGAATTGGTAATTGAATTAAGATGAGAAAAGGGAGGAGTTTCTAATGAATGCTTTTAGTTCAGAGAGCATCTGGATAAATGGTGATGCTAAGATGGATAAGTACAGAAGATAGGTTGGCGAGTAGCATCAAGTGGTGGCAGAAGATGACTTCTAATTTTAGCAGTAATTTTTTTTTCCTTTTTTTTTGGAAAAGGAATTTCTCTCTCACTGCCCAGGCTGGAGTGCAATGGAGCAATCTTGGCTCACTTAGCAACCTCTGCCTCCTGGGTTCAAGCGATTTTCCTGCCTCAGCCTCCTGAGTAGCTAGGATTACAGGCATGCACCACCATGCCCAGCTAATTTTGTATTTTTAGTAGAAATGGGGTTTCACCATATTGGTCAGGCTGGTCTTGGAACTCCTGACCTCAGGTAATCCACCTGCCTCAGCCTCCCAACGTGCTGGGATTACAGGCATGAGCCACCGTGCCTGGCCCTTAGCAGTAAATTTGATGCACTTGCGGAACATGCAAGATGTGGTAATTGTGTAGGTAATCTAAAGTTCAAGAAGGAGTTTGTTGAATCTGAATATTCTGCAGGTCAAGAAATAGCTGTTTGCATATCCCACACAGTCACTTTCTCATGATATGTGAAGACAAATGAAGTTAGGAAAACAATAATCCTGACCTAAAGCTGGCATGTTGAACGACAAACTTATCTTCCCTTAAGGTACTTGATACCATTGTCAGAAACATACCATTAAGCTAAATGGGCCACAGAACTGTTTCTGTATGATAATTGTCAGGTGTGTATATATATTTTATGAAACATAAATGAGATTATGCCTGTTGCAGAATATCTTTTATTTCTGGGCATAATTTGTTGAATGATGCAAAACAAATTTTATGACACAAATTAGTATTGCTTGGCACAAAAAAAGGTTATTTGATGATATAATATCTTCATTTAGGTTCCCTTGATTGGGGACATGAGTAACTAACTTAAGAAACAATCAAACTACCTTACTTTAATAGTATTTGACATAAAACTTATAACAAGGGAAAAGAAGGTAACAAAGAGATAATAAAATCAAAGCCTGCCTATTATCTTATTAAAAATAGATTCACAAATTACTACCACTACTATTACTAGTTAGTATTTATTGAGTTACTCTGTGCTTAGAACTGTGCTATGCATTTTACTTGTGTTATCTCATTTGATGCTCACAACAACCTTGTGAGGTAGGTATTATTGTTATCAACATCATCCCCATTTTAAGAGGAAGAAATTGAGGCACAAAGAGATTAAGTAGCATGTCCAAGGTCACACAACTGAAAGATGGTAGGGTTGGAATTTGAACCTAGGCAGTCTGACAAGACATATGAGACTAGACTAGAGTCAGGAATTTTAAATTGGCTAGGCTTCTTATTACAAATCATGTGATCATAGAACTACAGGATAAAAATAGTTATCTCAGAATATCACAATATCTAAAAGTAATTCTGAACCTTTGTCTTGGCAAATGTACAAACAATTAAGACAATTTTTACAAATAAAAGCAGAAGCAAAATAGGGATAAGATGCAGAAGAGAATGGCCGGGCGCGGTGGCTCAAGCCTGTAATCCCAGCACTTTGGGAGGCCGAGGCGGGTGGATCACGAGGTCAAGAGATCGAGACCATACTGGTCAGCACGGTGAAACCCCGTCTCTACTAAAAATGCAAAAAATTAGCTGGGCATGGTGGCGCGTGCCTGTAATCCCAGCTACTCAGGAGGCTGAGGCAGGAGAATTGCCTGAACCCAGGAGGCGGAGGTTGCGGTGAGCCGAGATCGCGCCATTGCACTCCAGCCTGGGTAACAAGAACGAAACTCCATCCCAAAAAAAAAAAAAAAAAAAAAACAGATGCAGAAGAGAATAACAGTCCTACCATATGTTTGGTTTAATATTTGCTTGTGCATAGAAACCAGTCATGAGTTAAATAAGGCCTAAATTTAAGAAGGTTTTTGGTTTCATTACCTAATTTCTACTTCATTCCAAATTATTTTCCCAAACAGAAGAGAACATACTTATTGTTTGTGCCTATATATGTAAAAAATGACCTGATAAAAGATATGAGATAGCTAATCAACTTCAGAAGTTATTTCAAATTTCAAATTTAATTTGTGAATTATGTTTGTAAGTATCTTTCTGGAAGTTCTAACTAGATAATTATCCAATGAAAAAATCTTTATTCTTTGAAAACGGCTCTTCAGTTTTGTTTTTGTCATAGACAGATTCTGACAATATATACATGTATGGCTCTGGAAATTGGAAGGTGACTTCATTAATTAATCGTGAACATCTCTGAATTTGTTTGCATTTGAGAAAATCACAATTGCGCTTTCCAGATCTGTAGGGGAAAATGTCCACATATAAGTCAAACTCTCAGATTCGCCCTTGTTACAAACAATCGATCACTACCTCTTGAACTTGAGAAATAAAAAATATTAAATAAATTCAAAGGAAAATAAATTTCCAAAATTAATGCAAATAGAAAGTTAATATGCTAATTATGTGTTGACATGTTATGTATGTTTCAGATCACCAAGTCATCTGTTCAACTACTTTACCAATCTCCATAAATACGGATGGGTAATATAATTCAAGATGCCCTTCTAAAGAGGATTACTTTGGTGAATTCTCTAATGTTTGGACTTTTGAAGTAAAAAGAAAAGCTATTACCAAAGTTTAATGAGGCCACAGCATTTTTTAAAGTTCATATTATCTGCTATTTAAAGTATATATTTTGAATATAAAAATATAATTAAAAAATTTTTTTTGGTGGAAGACAGATGATGCTCCTATTTCTTTTCCATTAGGCAGTTGTTTCTGGTGATGAAGAATGATTTGGTAAAGCGGTTAACAAAACATTTTCCAAAGACACCAGAGGGTCTGTATAGTATTGCAAAGCAGGACTGAATCCCTTCTGCTGTAAATACTGGATTCGACCTTGGTCAATCAGCAATTTACAAAGATGCCCTATTTTCTTCTTTTCTTCAATACTAAGAAGCCTAAATTGAATAAACACACACAAAACATTGTTACAATTTTGCAAAAGTTTATAAAAAATTATTTTTGTCACTTCTATTTATTGAGAGACTGTTAACTAACCCATTTATTTATGATCACAATAAGAGACATTTATATTTTAGCTTATTCTAAAATTAGATGATAAAATACATTTTCATGAATTGTTGATAATAGTCATCCAAAAATAAAGTACAGTAATAATACAATATTTCTCTATTAGTGTCCTGCATTACAAAAGTCATCTCTTACCCAGGCAAATTATCAGCACTGTCATCTGTGATTCTGTATTCTCCATCATCATGCTCTTCACTATCATCATTTTGATTATCTTGTCTCTTTGTGGTAATATTTGAGGCTTCCAAAGATGTTTTCCGCATCCCACAAGTTGCCCAACTACTCATTCGCTGGAAATAGTGGAATTCCACTGCTCCAAGGCCTAGAGCCCTGAAATATTCTTTGCCCACATAATGTCTCCAATCACACCTGTGGTGACAACAGAGTGCAATAACAATGCCAGCCACAGGGTTCCACTTCTCTGGGACATTTTTTTCATTTCCTTCCTTGGCCAAAGTGTAAATTTCTTTTTCTGTTTTATCATTCTTTATGCGTTTGGCTAAAGGTTCTTCATTCCTTTCCTCAAAACTGGCAGCATAGGTTTCAACCAAACATCGTAATGCAAGATCTGCAAACACAATTATGTGGCCCCCCAACCACATCATCTTTAAAAATAAATATTTTTTACATTTATTAAGCAGTACTGTTTTAAAAAACCCAACAATAAAAACAGCAAAAACCTTTATATTGTAATAATTCTATTGTGAATTATCAACTTGGTTCAAATTTGCTCTTTTCTTACTATCTTCTCAATTTTTTTAATGATTTATTTTGCATAAAGCCTACTTCCCAATAAAACTATCTGAAGTTTAAGATCTACAATTTGAAGAACTTTTACCCAACTACTGAATTGTCTCTCACTTCTCCTACCTTAGCTGAGAAAATTACTTGTATAAAAAAACTATTCACCTACATTTACATTTTAGTGGGAGGAGGAGGAGGAGGAGGAGGAGGAGGAGGAGGAGGAGGAGGAAGAAGGGGAAGGAAGGAAGGAAGGAAGGAAGGGAGGGAGGGAGGGAGGGAGGGAGGGAGACAGACAGACAAGGAAAAAGGGAAACCCAGTGTTGGGTTTCCAGGCATAAGGTACTGTGCCTGACCTGAATATTAACATTTAAAGGGCAGAAGTGGACGGGGACTATGAAATAAACAGAAGGAATGACATAGATATAGGGGAAGAACCAGGAAATAAAAGTATCGCAAAAGAGAAGAAAACAGAATCTCAAGAAGGGTAAAACACAATTTCAGAATTTTAACTGCAGCAGAGATGAAAGGAAGATTCAGATACAGTGAATCAGGGGAAAAAAGTTATGTGGAACATGAGAAATGGCCACTGTAGATCAAAACTAGTTCCCCCAGGATGGAACTGGTTTACTTTAGAAGACTTTTTTATGAGGCTTAAATGAGACAAAGTATGTGAAAGTAGAGTCATGCATCGTTTAACCATTGGTGTATGTTTTGAGAAATGCATTAGGTGATTTCTTCACTGTGGGACCATCAGAGAGTACTACACAAACCTAGATGGTGTAGTGTAGCCTACTACACACCTAGGATATATGGCATAGCCTATTGCTCCTAGGCTACAAACCTGTACAGCATGTTACTGAATACTGTAGGCAACTGTAACACAAAGGTGAGTATTTGTGTATCTAAATACAGAAAAGATACAGTAAAAATATGATATAATTTTGCAGGACCACTGTCATACATGCATTCCATTGTTGACCAAATCATTGTTATGTGGTACATGACTATAGTCTTAAAAACTATGAAGGCCAACACAAATATATAGTACTCAATGCCATTTCCAGCCAATATGAATACTATCTATGGATGCTCCAAGTTACCCATATGGGTAGATGATGAAACTAGCAAAAGTTAGGAGATGATGTAACAATAATTAACATTTATTGAGCACTATTATGTGTCAGACATTTTACATGCAACCCAGTAAATTATTAATATGTTAACATCTCTGTTTTATAGATGAGGAAACCAAAGCTCAGAAAGGTTAAGTAATTTGACAAGGTTATACAACAGAGCTGAAAGCTAGACTATCTGATTCCAAAGCACATGCTGTTTCTACTTTACCATGCTAAATCCGATGGATCAAAGTGTTAAGACAAGACATCTTACATATTTTTTTTTTTTGTCTAACGTTTAACTTTTTTTTTCCCCTCAGAATCCTGAAACACAATAGTCTTCTAGTGGGAGAAATTTCTGAGTTCTTTCTAAGCAACTACTCTAAAAAAATCAGTAGCTTCTGGATAGAATCATACAGTTTCCATAAATGGTTTGATTTTCTTTTTCTCGTTGAGACATAGCCCAAAGAAAGAACTTTAAGGTCTAATGTGATGCAGTATTTACATACAAAACTCTTAATTCATCTTGCAAAATGGCCAAAATGAGCAGATAAATAGGAATGCTATGCATCTAATAAAACACAGGGCCCTATAAAGTGCTCTATAAAGATTAGTGAATTATAAACATAAGATATCTATTCAAAAGAGACCACTGATATGGTTGGGGCAGGTTAGGCCAAAACTTAATGCATTAATGTAAACATTATTAGTATGTTTACATACCTGTCGCCACACCACACAGATGCTTTCCAATTCCTACCACAGGTAATTTTCCTTCTCTTAGCACAGGAATCTTGTCTGAAATGGAAATGAGAATTAGGTTACATATTAACGTGGCTTTCCAAAAGAAATAACTAATTAGAGTCTCTGAATTTTAGCCTGAAAGAGGCTCAAACAAAAAATTCTCACTTTATAGAACTCAACATATAATATACAAACTTGTTTAGGGTTCATAACATCAGGAAGTTAATATAGTCAGTTAAATAATTTTAAATACAGTGATTTATATACAAATGCTAGGTTGCTTTTCATGGTTGGATTAAAATTAGTGAATGGAAGAGGTTGCAAAGATATGTTTGCATTATTTTCTTCGGATAATCTGAAAAATAGAAAAGGTATAAAAAGGCCACTACAGAGATTGATTGAGGAGTGTTCGTGTATGTGTGTCTGTGTGTGTGTTTTGTGTAAGGAATGTGAATACCACAGTGATGACTTCTTTTCTTTGGTACAATTTAAAATTCTAGGAAGTATCTTTTACCTATTAGGTAGGCAGAGAACTATCTCATTTTCTTTACTGGTTTAAGTAAGAAATGTTAACTGCAAGCAGAAGGCTAATTTATAGTTTGAACAGACCTAATATTAATTTAAACAGGACAAAGAAACAACATAAGTACATATTATAAAAACTTTTTTTTTTTTTTTTTTTTTTTTTTTTTTGAGACGGAGTTTCACTCATGTTACCCAGGCTGGAGTGCAATGGCGCGATCTCGGCTCACCGCAACCTCCGCCTCCTGGGTTCAGGCAATTCTCCTGCCTCAGCCTCCTGAGTAGCTGGGATTACAGGCACACGCCACCATGCCCAGCTAATTTTTTTTTGTATTTTTAGTAGAGACGGGGTTTCACCATGTTGACCAGGATGGTCTCGATCTCTTGACCTCGTGATCCACCCGCCTCGGCCTCCCAAAGTGCTGGGATTACAGGCTTGAGCCACCGCGCCTGGCCTATAAAAACTTTTAAACTCTTCCCTAATACTTCATTTCCATTTGATACTGAAAATTAAACAAATTTTCAACCTTAATTCAATTTATATCTATTTAAACATTATATAAAACATTCTATATTAACAATGGATTGATTTACTGTTTTCCTTGAAGCACTGTTCTGCATGATTGGATTTCTAAGCAACCCTCAGAGTTTGAAACAACTATGACTTATTTGTAGAGCAATGGAAAGTTACACAGCTTACTCAAACACAAGTGTTGAATATCAATTTGAAGTCTTTCAAACACTGAGTTTTTCTTTCTGTGTTTTCCATCCACCTGCATAAATAGAACATTATTGTAATAATTACTTCTTACATTTAAAAAAGCTTTATGAAAATAAAAAGATTTCTATTTGTTTTCAAAATTCAGAGCAACAGAATATATTTAAAAATTAAGATTGTATATTCTTTGATAAGAACTTCAAAATATCACACTTTTTAAAAAAGATTTGAAATGTTTATCAATTATATATACATTATTTCCTTCAACTCTAAAAATTCCCAATTCACTGACAAAAGAACTGAAGTTCACAGCTCTTTTTTTTTTTTTTTTTTGGGGACGGAGTTTCGTTCTTGTTACCCAGGCTGGAGTGCAATGGCGCGATCTCGGCTCACCGCAACCTCCGCCTCCTGGGTTCAGGCAATTCTCCTGCCTCAGCCTCCTGAGTAGCTGGGATTACAGGCACGCACCACCATGCCCAGCTAATTTTTTGTATTTTTAGTAGAGACGGGGTTTCACCATGTTGACCAGGATGGTCTCGATCTCTTGACCTGGTGATCCACCCGCCTCGGCCTCCCAAAGTGCTGGGATTACAGGCTTGAGCCACCGCGCCCGGCCAAGTTCACAGCTCTTAAGTGATTTATCTAAGATTGTATGCTACCTCCTTTATTTTTGTCATTCCTAGTATACTATTTTGGCTTGCTCCTCTTCTTACTCTCCTGAAAGATCACAACCATTCTAATCTACACCTGTGTACCCATGACCTACTGATCCACATTTGTGGCTCAGGCTTCTCCAATGAGCATGAGACACACACTCAAATGTGAACTAGAAAGCTCTACTTCACCATTATTTCTGTCTCCAAAACCATCCTTCCTCTTACTCCTCCTTTATTCCTTATCTCAGGAAAGAGCACCACTTAGTCACTTAAGCCATAAAAATGCTACCCAAGATTACTCTTTCTCTCTCAGATTCAATTACTAATAAATCACCAACTCTTCTGGTTTCCAACCTCTTAACATTTCTCATACTCTTGCCCTCCTCTCCATCCCAATGCAATAGCTTTAGCTCTGGCCTTTTTCTTATTTGGATTGTTGGACAAAAATTATCTTTATTATTAACCTCTCTATTCAAGTGTCAAACTTCTAATATAGTTTTAATGGTACTGCTAGGATAAACTTTGAAAAATTCTACTTTACTAACTCTTACATATTATTTCAATCTCATCTCAACTGTTACTTTTATGAAAATTTCTATGACCCACACTAGACCGAGGTTGGTGTTCTATCTTCATGCTCCCATAGCACTGGGTACTTAACTATCATCAAAACACACTTAGCATACCGAACACAAATATATGTCTACTCCACTAGACGTCTATAAGCTTCTTCAAAGCAAAGAACTAAATCTTTTTTTCAGTGGATCCCCACCAGACAGCAGCATAGTCAAAACCCTTCCTTAGCATAAAATATGAGCCTGTCTGTAGGCTAGCCATCCTCTCTAGTCTCATCATTGCTGAACTCTGCTTCACTATATACTTCCATTACACATAAATGTTTCCACATTTTCCTGTTATTTCAGGCATTTAGTTATACTGTTCTTGCTTCCTACAATGCTTCTCAACCTAGCAAACACTAATTCACCTTTCAAGATTTAGTTCAAGCATCACCTTTTCTGCATAGTCATTCTCCATCTCTTCCCTGCAATAAAACTTGTCACTCCCTTCTCTGAAACCACGCTGTACCCTGGGCAGACTTTTTTGTATTTTAACACTTTACTACAATCATTTATGTATTTGCCTGGGTCTCTTTTCTAAACCTAAGTAATAGAGTGGCTGGACATAGTGGCTCACACTTGTAATCCCAGCACTTTTGGGAGGCTGAAGTGGGGGAGGGATGGCTTGAGCCCAGGAGTTTGAGACCAGCCTGGGCAACAAAGTGAAACCCTGTCTCCATGAAAAATTTTAAAAAATTAGCTGGGCATGGTGGTGCGTGACTGTAGTCCCAGCTACTCATGAGGCTGAAATGGGAGGATTATATAAGCCCAGGAGGTCAAGGCTGCAGTAAGCCTTGATACTAACACTGTATTCCAGCCTGAGTGGGGCCTGGCAGTATGCTCAATAATTGTTTATTGAATGAATGGCAAGTGGCAAAGATAGGTGTAGAACCTAAGACTTTTAACTCCTAGCTTCAGCTTGGCTCTTTCTAGATAGTTTCCTGTCTCTGCAAATAATTTTAAGAACTCAGATCAATGGACTATCAAAACGTGTATTAAAAAAATTCACCCTCAGTTTGAGTCATCAATACAATCAGAACTAATAAAAAGCCACAACAAAAAGATAAAGAAAATGCCTTGCCTTGCCTTTTCATTAAGAAATGTTTCTATCACGTTTTTCCTGAATATGAAAAATGAAAACAAAGTTTGGTTACTAACATAGAGCAATGGTTTCACTTACCTTGAATCTTGTGGTCACCTTTTCTACTAGGATGAAGTGAACTTTTTCAGCATCTTTTAAGGCAATATCAACCCAATGAGATAATTTTCCCTTTCCCGCTCCAAACTCAACAAAGCATCTTCTTGGACCAAGTAACTTTAATTTTTCAATGTTACCTAAAATAGAAGCCTGCAAACTTCACAAGATTATTTTATAAACTAGAGCAAACACATTTGGCTCAAATGGGAAAACAGCAAGGTAATTTCTATGTAAGGCAGTATGTTTACACTGATAATTTCTATTTGACTTAAATTTTTCTCTCTTGCTTTTAAATATTTAATATATGGTACTCAGAATCATATCCATACCCTCAACTTTTTATATATGTTTATACATATTTTTTGAAATGGAAATATTTGGCACCCTGAAAGGTAAACAAAATAAAATCTTATTAATAATTACATTTAAAACACTTTTAACAAATGAACAAAGGCCATGTTTAGTAGTTACTATAGCCTATACATACCTGCTGTTTCAGGTGCTTGGTTGCAGAATCACCATTTTTAGGGTCATTAAGTGCACTTTGTAATGCTGGATGGGACATAATACGATCTTTAAGTGTTGAATTCAAACCTGTGACAAATATAAGCACAACAGCTTAAGCAGCCAATCATGAAATTGTAGGATTCTGAACAATAGTAGTAACACATTTTAAACCATTATGGTATTAACTCATATACCACCTAATTACTCTAAAATAATTAAACTTGCAACTTTAGGCAGTCTTACCTTCACTTGCTTTTCTCAATTTCTTAATTAACTTTTCCAACTGCTCTTCAGATAGAGAAGAAATTGGAACCTATATACAAAAATAAAACTAAACAATGTAGCCAAAAACTGCTTTAAAGTAGCATGACAGAAACTGAATAGAGGTTTACCAATTGGGCAATTCCCATGACAGCTTAGGTTCTTCTCTCTATCAAGCCTGTTCCCTAAGCTGCCATCAGAACTGTCCAACTGCTAAATTTCGACTCAGTCTTTACCGTGCTACTTTAATTCTCCTAAATTCCTCAAGGTCAAGAACAAGTCTAGGCTCAGGAGGGTTCAAGAATCAAAGGGGATTTGGGGCCACATTGTAGCTTGTTTTGTTATGGGGCATGAGCTACTTTGGGAACTAACAATCACTAATAATATTGAGTCTACAGGAAAATGCATTCTAAATTAAAAACAGATTTATTTGAAATAAAAATTAGAACATGGCTTATTCACATCATGAAGAGAGCTTATAAATACCTTTTAAAATTAAATATTAAGTCAATGTACTTACTAATTGTTCAGGTATTTCTGTTTCATCTTTTAAGCCTGCATTAATATCTTGAATATAGAAATCCTTAACAAAAACAAAACAAAACCATAAAAGAACTGTTAATAATGTGAAGTTCACAAAAATTAAACTAAAATACTGATTCTTCCCTTCATCCCCTGCTCTCTACCTGCCATCCTCCCTTCCTCCATTCATTTCTTCATTAAATCATTATTTAGTACTTACTCTAGTCCCTAGTTTGCTTTAGGTACTGGGCATTCACCATAGTAGATAACAAAAGGGACAAAAATAAGTATTCATGGATATTATATCCTAGTGAGCTGGTTATCTGAATAAGCATTTATAGTGTAAAGAAACTCATTTATAACATTTATTAAAATTTTTACAGCATAGACTGTTTACAGCATAGACTGAGAACTATAGCAATTTTGTCTTATAGTGCTAAAGCAAAAACAGCAAAGTACTAACTACACAATGCTGCTTTATCAAACATGCAGCATGACCAAAAACAGGTAAGATATAGATATTATGACAGTAAGTCTTACTTCTTCTATTTTAAAATATTAATTAAAACTTGAAAATATAAATGTCCTGTCACACTAGTTATTTAAATTAGCATAATGAGGCCAGGCATAGTGGCTCAAGCCTGTAATCCTAGCACTTTGGGAGGCCAAGGCAGGATTCCTTGAGCCCAGGAGTTTGAGACCAGCCTAGGTAATATGGGAAGATTCTGTCTCTAACACAAATAAATAAACAAACAAACAATGAAACCTTTCTAGTCCGGCTTCAGAGATACAGATTCTAGGTGAGGATCTGTATTACCATTGTCCAACAGAACTTTCTGCAATGATGGAAATGTTCTACATCTGCTCTGGCCAATAGGGTTGCCACTTAAATATGGCTAGTGTGACTGAGGAAATAGATTTTTAATTTTATTTAGTTTTAATTCAAATTTAAATAGTCATATGTGGCTAGTGGCTGCCATATTGAACAGTGTAGATCTAGATGAAAGAAACAGTACTGTTTCTACAAATCCTTTTTCAAAAGTGAAGATAACTCTTGGAGACATTATGTGTAGTAAATGGACTTTTGTTACATGGGGGCAGAAGGGTAACATCCTGATTGTGTGTTTCTAGCTTTACTTAGATGGACAGATTGTGTGTTGCTAGCTTTATGTATATGGATGGACAGTGTGTTGCTAGCTTTACCTATACGGACAGCAAATGGAAACTGGTGATTGAATGGAATGAGTGAAGACTGCAGAATTACAATGTTTTAATGGATAACTGAAAAAAAAAACTATAACAGAAAATTAGTTGTTAAGTATGAGAATTTAACATACTCTTAGTTCAAAATGGTTGCCAAGAGTGCTCCAGGTAACTTATGTTGTAGATTAGATTTTTAAATGTGAAAACTATTTATATTGGAGAAATTTATAACCAATTAATTTTTATTTAGTATACAAAATTTTTAAAAAATTGCTCACCAGTTTCCCTAAGTAAAACAGAACAGTGATATACTTTTACCTGTGTTCCAAGTGTCCTACTCTACATAGTGAACCAGAAAAATATTGCTCTGCATTTCTTTCTCCTGTCTCATCATACCACTGTTTTTCTCCATTTCCTTGCCACTGTGTGCTGGTATGCAGTGAAATTCACCCAAGGGTTTTCCATTTTTAATAAATTTATCTATTCTCTCAAACTTTTCTCAGAACACGTATTACAGTTGCTTGCTTTAACTGAAACCTGTCACTTAGGTAAGGAAGATACTTGCAAACAATGCCAATATTCTCGCTATTAAAGGGGCTAAGACCTAAGTAGGTCGTGGTAGTGAGGGTCACCATTTTTCTTCCCTACCATCTTAATGTAAAAACACTTTCTAAGTTTATGCAATCTGGCCCGCTGGTTCTCAATTGGGAGTCATCTGGAAATGTATGGGAGCATTTTGTTGTCAAAGCAACTGAGAGGTGCTATTGTAAGACATCGTCCCCTAAGTCTCTCAATTTTCTACAAGTCTTAGAAGCAGAGGCACTGATTACCTTTTTACCTGGACTATCTTTTCAAGGTAGCTTGAATACCAAGCACCCTTGGGAGACAGAAATGATGTGTCACCTCCTTGATCACATGGCAGCCCATATTGTACAGTGTAATAAACAAATACTTATTTACAGAACAAGTCAGGCAGGTTTGCTTACTACCCAATTTAAAAATATTTGTATTTTCTGGCTGGATTTGGGGCTCACGCATATAATGCTAGTACTCTGGAGGTCAACGCAAGAGTACTGCTTAACACCGGCAGTTCAAGACCAGCCTGGGCAATGCAGTGAGAAACCTGTCTCTACAAAAAAATAAAAAATTAGCCAAGTGTGGTGTTGTTTATCTATAGTCCCAGCTACTCATGAGGATGAGGTGGGAAGATTGCTTGAGCCCAGGTGTTCAAGGCTACAGTGAGCTATGATCACACCACTGCACTCCAACCTGGGTGACAGAGTGAGATCCTATCTCTTAAAAAAAAAATTTTATACTTCCTGAGTTTGGGTTCCTCAGCTATGAAACAAGTCCATTCAACGTGTAGCATCTACTGAAGCATTACATACCACATTTCACCACTCAATTTTACCGATCAAACACTTACAGGTTTTGGTTTCTCTCTTGAGTTACATTTTTTCAAATGCTTTGCTAGTTGATCTTCATATACTGTGCTAAATTTAAATAGAAAATTATTTCAAATGAGATATGCACCAATTACTGTTTCCAGCACAAAATAAACCCATATTTGATCCATACTTACTGTTTTGGATCTAAAGGACACAGGATTCTTTTCCGAGCATCTTCTTCCTAATAAATTAAGGGATATATTATTTAAATAAAATATCAAGTTTATTGCTTACAGATACCAGATATAATTTCAGTGTCTCTGTAATCTCAAAACAAGGTAAGGAAACCTTAAAAGGATATAATGAAAAGTTGGCAAAATCAGGTCCCAAGGTTTTAACAACAAAAAATATCCAGTGTAAATTGGCTTAAATATATTATGAACAAATACTGCTTTGGACAAACAAGGGACTATAGCTTCAAATAGGTTATAGAGAAGGCCTACATATGGTGTTTGGAATCTAAGATAGCATCAACTACTATATGCATGACTATTTTATGCACAACCAAGAAAGAAAAAAGTTACCTATTTCATTTTAAATTAATTGACAAATAGTTGCATAGATTTATCACATATTAGGTTGGTACAAAAGTAATTGTGTTTTTTTATGGAAATAAAAATATACAGTATTTTATGTATATGGTTTTAATATGACATGATGTTTTGAAATATGTATACATTGTGGAATGGCTAAATCAAGCTAATTAACATGCATTGCCTCACATACTTACCATGTTTTTGGAAAATACTGCCCATTGACATATGGATTTTAAGATGTATCCTGATTTTAGAATGTTAAAATGTAAAAATAAAGTTTCTTAAAAACAATGAAACATGGTATTTTAACCATTTGGCATGTGCTATATTTTACTGGCTTTGCAACTTTTTAGTATTAGTTACATCCTATTTATTTCTAAGTTACATAGATTTAACTAGTCGTGGCTTACTTAATGATGGGGGAATACATTCTGAGAAATGTATCTTTAGGTGATTTTGTCATTGTGAGAACATCACTGTGAGAAGAAACCCAGAAAGTATAGCCTACTGCATAATTAGCCGATAAAGTATAGCCCATGGCTACTAGGCTGCAAACCTATACAGCATGTTACCATAGTAAATACTGTATGCAAATGTAACACAATGTAAATATTTGCGTATCTAAACATATCTAAACATATAAAAGGTACAGTAAAAGTATAGTATTATAACCTTATGAGACCACCATCATATGTGTGGTCTGTTGTTGGCTGAAATGTCATTATGTGGCACATGACAATATGAACTGAGAAAAAGAAAGGAAAATTGATAGTATTGGCAATTCTACCCAATATTCCACATAAATCTGTATAAATAGGGACTGTATAACAGTTAAGACATAGGCCAGCCAGGCTGCCTAGGTATTATACCCAGCTCTATCTACCAGCTACAAGCCCTATGACCTTGGTTAGGGCTTACTGCCTTATCCGAAAGATGAGAACAATAATATGTCTTACCTCCTGAAATTTGAACAAGTTAAGTGAGCTAATAGTTAAAAAACAAAACAAAACTGCCTAGCACAGTGCTGGCCACAGAGTAAACGGTGACTGAGTGTCTGCTATCATTATCTTAAAAATTTATTTCTGTTCTAATGTGCCTCTCAGCATGTCCATGAAGCTATTCACACTGAATTTCATGGGAAAGGTAAGAAATTTTCAATGTTTTTTGGACTGCATATTCAATAAAAGGAAAAGAAAATACTGTATATTAATTCTTCCTTATTTGCTGACTTTAAATTCTAACCTCCATGTAAAAGACTATTCTAACCCCTGAAAGCCTAACTGTAGCATAGGGAAAAAAGGACATTAAAAATTTATTTGAATTTAGAACAGGGATTCTCAGTCTTGGCACTAATGACATTTTGGGTTGGTCTTTTGGGGAGCAGGGGTCTGCCCCATGCTTTGTTTAGCAGCATTTCTAGTCTCTGTCCATTAGATGTCAGTGATACTCCTCAGTTGTGACAACCAAAATGTCTTTTTTTCTCCAAGTGTCCACTGGGGGCAAAATCAGTTAGTCCTAGTCGAAAATCACTGGGGAAAAATGAGTGGTGTCATCACAACTATATATGACACTTAGAAAAAAAGATGGAAACACAAAATCCAGTTATATTATAAATTACAGATTCAGGAGGATAGCCACAATTTAAAACCAGATAGTAGTCATGAAAACTGTTTCCACTTGATGTTTTGCAGTCTTTCTTCAAGGGACTAATGACAACACGTCGTTCCTCTCTAGGAATACTGATCTGTTTGTAAGGATTTATTCATATTCTACTATCATCACCATTTGTATTCACCGTCCAGATATTTAGATAAGATGGAGTCTAAATCCTTCTCCTATCATAACTCCCATTCTTTAACCAAGAGATGTTTGCCAGTCTCCTCAAAACCAGTCAATACAACTATGGACATAATTCAGAGTTTCCACAAGTCACGTCTCCCATACTCCAAAACAAAAATGTCCTTGTTTCAGTATGCTTCACTTTGAGTAAATGGTAGTCAAAACAAAATAGGAAGTGAGCTTTAGCTACGATGGAGAGTGACAGATGAAGGGGGTCAGGGGACTCATCTACACTGGATATTGTCTAGATGAATAAACTGCTTAAGAAATAAAATAATTCAAATAATACTGGACATTCACAGGTTGATCTGAATCAGATACTGATCTCTTTGGTTTATTCTTTATAGCTCTATTAGACATGCTCTTTTTCTATCAGCATTTTGCTCGTCTGGTTTTTATTTTCCCGTCATACATACATATGTACGCATCCATCCTAAAATAATATGCATATATACAAATATACAGTGTTAGCACATTTATATGCATAACTATTATCAAAATTGTATGCTTTGTTCTCAATTGTAAAAGATCAATTCATATACATTTAAAAATCCTTCCCATTCCAGCAGAGTTGCATTCTTAAAAACTGTAAAAAACATTTTTTTTTTACTCAGTCTGGCTGTCACTTAGGCTGGAATGCAGCGGCATGATCTCGGCTCACTGCCATCTCCACCTAATGGGTTTACGTGATTCTCCTGCCTCGGCCTCCTAAGTAGCTAGGGTTACAGGCTGCGCGCCATCACGCCTGGCTGATTTTCTTATTTTTAGTACTGAGAGGGTTTCATTATGTTGGCCAGGCTGGTCTCAAATTCCTGACCTCAAGTGATCCGCCCGCCTCGGTCTCCCAAAGTGCTGGGATTACAGTCATGAGCCACCGTGCCCGGCCTCAATTCTAAACTTTTGTTTGTTAAGTCTAAATTTTTAAAAGAAAGTTTCTTCCAACCGCATTCATAAGAAGTGCTTCTCTTTCATGAAATAACAACTACAACACAATTAGCGAGACCTTCGGGACCTCAATCACTACTTTTTCTAAACTACCACTTTCCAGCAGGAAGGCGGAGCGGTAGCTTGGGGTAAAACTAATATCTAGCATTGCTATGAGTTACGATCAAGATAAACGGGTCACTGCTGGAGCTTTAGTAAAATAAAACAATTCTCGTTACTAGAACTCATCATCGTTCCGTAAGGAGGGCAAAACTGGGTTTATTAAAGTGAAAGCTGGAGAATCCAGGGGACACAAGCAGAAATCTGTCAAAGAGGGGAGGGGCCGGGTTCCAACACCGACAGCACCAGGATACTTATTTCCGACTCTGGAGAGAGTAGGGCGATACCACACCTCCGCGGCTCCAGCGTGTTCACCACAGAATCTTTTCCCTGCGGCCACCAACATCCTGCAGAACCGTTTCTTCTTTTCCACATAGTAACCACATCTACCCTCAGCTGGAAAACCAGTCGCGTGCGGCGACGTCGCGGAGGTCGCCATAACTCAGGACTAGCTTCGGGTGTGGAGCATCCGGCAACCAGAGGAAAAGTTGTCAGCTTCCTTCGGCTCCTCTTCCCTTAACAAGCATGGCTGTCTCAGCCCCCGCCACCCAGGTTAATGCCCGGAACTATCACAACCACCTTCCCTGTATCCTCCGCAGAACCGGAAGAATCCGATGGTGGCTGGCGAGGGCCAAGTCTCTTACGTCTTCCTCTCGTTTCTCTCTCCCCGCCTCCTCCGCAGAAGCCGAGCGCCAAACTCAAACTTTATCAGGACCCGGACGTTTCTCTGGCTAGTTTCGAGGGCCGGGCCTGTTGGGCCTTTCCGCACACCAGCCGGGGCAGTGAGCCAACATGAGCCAAGTTCTGTTCCACCAACTAGTCCCGTTGCAGGTGAAATGCAAAGACTGCGAGGAGAGGTAAGGTCCGCGTCACTCAGTGCCCGCGGGTGGCGGTTGGGGTCAGGCCAATGGGAAAAGATGGCGGTTCCGGCCACTGGGCCCCGCCTTGCACCTGGGTGTCCTGTGGGCCCCCTAGGAAGCGGATAGGGAACCCAGAGGGCCCGTGGATACCTCTCTCACTAAGTCGGCCGTTGTAGAGGGGACTGGAGGAAGGGTGTGAGGGAATAGGAAACCGGCTCACGTCGAGTTGATGCCAAAACCCTAGCTCTGAAAGGAGTCGTGAAGATTATATCCCTGCTCTTCCCTTTTGGCAGATAAGAACTCTGGCCCAGAGAAGTTAAAAAAAAATTTACGTGAGGGCCCACAGCCAATTCATGGCAGAGTCAGCACTAGAACTCTAGCCTCGGCTCCCAGCCTTTTCCCCCGGTCTCTTTTGAAGTATGTTGGCAGTAAAGTTCAACTTTTAAAAACCTACCAATTAGGTGTTGTACTTTGGCTCTTCACGTTAGTTACTTTAAAAAAGTAAATTACATTTAACCGACTAAAAATGAGAAAATCAGAAACGTCATTCAGTAATATTCAGTAAATATTGCCTACTTCTTAAACACCTTACTGGGCACTGGGAATACAATGGTCAGGAAAAACAGTCCTTTTCTTCACGGAGTTTACAATCACCGGAGGAAATAAAGAACAGTCGCACAGGTTAAGTGCAACTTTGATTAAGGAGGTGGTATTATTGGGGCGTAAATGGATCTGACCAGAGGTCAGGAGACTTAATTTTTTTTTCTCAGTTCCAACACTCAATAGTTGTCTCTGTCTCTGAACGTTCTTTCCTCATTTCGAAAACTGATATAACATGCGTATTCACGTGATTGTAATGAGGATCAGGTGTGAAATTGTATGTGAAAACTAAGTACTGTGCAAATGTAACATAAAAAACGAAGACTTTGCCTTATTGAGTTGCCAGTAATGTGAAACTGTAGTATATATAGTTTAAAAGTAGGCCAAAAATCAATGGCAGGCCAGTCAAGGAGATGGTACCAAAACTAGTAGCTGCATATGGACATCTGTGGGTTTAGTTAATCATTCTTTTGATGCTTTCCGGTATGGTAGCCACTAGCCAAATGTGGTGATTAGACATTTGACATGGGCCTTATCTGAATTGTTGTGCTTTATGTATGAAAATGCACATTGTATTTTGAAGACTTACTATGAAAAAAGAATGTAAAATATCTCAATTTTTGTATTATGTGTTAAATGGCAATATTTTGGGTATATTGGGTTAAATACAATAATTATTAAAAATAATTTCACCTGCTTTTAAAAGTTTTTTTTTTTTAATGTGGCTTCTAGAAAATTTAAATAGGCTAGGTGTGGTGGATCACACCTGTAAGCCCAGCACTTTAGGAGGCCAAGGTGGGAGGATTGCTTGAGCCTAAGAGTTGAGGTTACAGTGAGCTATGATTGCACTGCTGTACTACAGCCTGGATGACAGAGCGAGACGCTGTTTCTGGAAAAAAAAAAAAAAAAAGAGAAGGAAAAAATTAAAATTACATACCTGGCTCACATTTGTGGCTTACCTTGTATCTCCATTGGACAACACTGTTCCAGAATGATTATCGAAAGATAAAAGGGGCCATACTTTGGTTTCAATATGGAAACTCCTAGATCTTCTTCCCCTTCTGGTTACATTGTCATCAGTTAATCTTAACCCCTGCTGTTCCTTGTGCCTCAAATGCTTTTTTCTTTCATAACTTTTAGGTGCATCTTAAATACTTTCACTGTAAGAGCCCTTCAGAGTTGCCTAAGTTGAAATGAATTGCTGTTACTCATTTGTTAGATAGTGTCGTGTAGGTGAAAGATCTGACTTCTAATTTAGATTCTGTCATGTAACCTTAAAACATTATGTGGGCCTTAAGTTCTTCTTTTGTGTAACACATAATATTTACTTATCAAGATTATTGTTAAATAAGATAATAGATGTAAAATACCTGGCAAGTACTCAGTAGTGTAGATACTCAGTAAGTGTTGGTAACCCTTCCCTCCCTTCTCATGGAGCCCTAAACTACAATCAGAAGCAAGTCTAGGAAAAAGTCATTAATCTCACCTCAATTAGAGGACAGAGACCATAGCTTTTTTGTTACGTTTCTGTCATCCTAGGTCCAAAAATTCTTCTTTTTTTCTTTTTTAGAGACAGGCTGTCACTCTGTTGCCCAGGCTAGAGTGTTGTGGCATGATCATGGTTAACTGTAATCTCAGACTCTTGGGCTTAAGTGCTCCACCTGCCTCAGCCTCCAGAGTAGCTGAAACTACAGGCATGCACCACAATGCCTGGCTTGTTATAGAAATTTTTTTGTAGCAATAGGATTTTGCCATGTTGCCCATGCTGGTCTTGAACTCTTGGCCTAAAGTGATCCTCCCACCTCAGCCTCCCAAAGTGCTGGGATTACAGATGTGAGCCACTGTGCCAGGCCCCTGGACTATGTTTATTTCTGTTTGTATCCCTAGCACCTGGCACAGTACCTGGCTTAAAACACCTTTTATTTGTTTGAATTGATAGTTTAAGGTCACAGCTACTGGGTGGCAGAGGTGGCCTAGAATCCAGTTCTGCTAATTCCTGATGCTTAACATACATTTTATTTAAAAGAATTCATAGCTAAATCTAATGTCAGGGAGGATGTTATGTAGAGTTATGTATGCATTGTTCAGAGTGTGACATATATTGAGATGAGAAATAACGTTTTATTGAGTTTTTGTTTTTTTGGTTTTTATTTTTTTTAATGGAGTCTTGCTCTGTCACCATGCTGGAGTGCAGTGGCACGATCTTGCCTCACTGCAGCCTCTGCCTCCTGGGTTCCAGCGATTCTTCTGCCTCGGCCTCCCTAGTAGCTGGGACTACAGGCGTGCACCACCACAGCCAGCTAATTTTTATAATTTTAGTAGAGACAGGGTTTCACCACGTTAGCCAGGATGATCTCGAGCTCCTGACCTCGTGATCCTCCCCACCCCCACCTCAACCTCCCAAAGTGCTGGTATTACAGGCATGAGCCACTGTTCCCTGCCGAGTTATTATTGTTTTATATTGCTCTTATGACATTAACCATTATAAGGGAAAAATAGAATTTGTGATTTTAGTTAGCATATCCACTGAAAGCTCATATTTTTCTGCAACGTATTTCTAAGGGTGTTTTTAAAGTAAGCATGGGGAATATGTTTAACTTATAGGCCTTCCTTTTTTTCTTTCAACATCTAATCTATATAAGCATTTGGAATATGTGCAACAGTATCATTAATATGATTGGTAAATTGTCATAGTAATATAACTCTTCCAGGATTATGTAAAGAATACTTTAATAAATTGATTCTTTCTGTACTTTTTGCAAATGTATGAAGTACGACAGGACTTTTAAAACTGTAAAGCACCGGCTGGGCGGGTGCTTCACACCTGTAATCCCAGAACTTTGGGAGGCTGAGGTGGGTAGATCACTTGAAGTCAGTAGTTTGAGACCAGCCTGACTAACATGGCAAAACCCCATCTCTACCAAAAATACAAAAATTAGCCAGGCGTGGTGGTGCACCCCTGTAATCTCAGCTACTCAGGAGTCTGAGGCAGGAGAATCACTTGAACCTGGGAGGCGGAGGTTGCAGTGAGCTGAGATCACACCACTGCACTCCAGCCTGGGTGACAGAGTGAGACCCTGTCTCAAATAAATAAATAAACAAACAAACAAACTCATAAATAAATAAACTCTGTCTCAAATAAATTAATAAAATAAAACTGTAAAGCACCATAAAAAGTTACATATCAACTGCAGAATCTTACCACTGTGGCATTTATGCTAGAGAAAACTTCAGAAGATAAAAACCAAACATAATGATGTTGTAGAGCTAAAAAGGTTCTCACAAACCTTCTAGTTGAATCCACTTATCCTACAAGTTAGGAAACTGAGAGGTTTTTTTTTCTCAAGAGAGTTTAATCTTGCTGTGCTGCCCAGACTGGACTTGCACCCCTGGGCTCAAGCTATCCTCCTGCCTCAGCCTCCGAAGTAATGGATACTACAGGCGGGAGGCACTCTGCCCAGCTCAGAAAAGCTTAAGTGGAATTGCAGTAGCACTCTAATCTGTTTCACATGCATTGCTTTAGATATTGGAAAAATAGAAACAGTGTATTCTCCTGTTTTGAAAATAATTCTTCTGTGTGGTGTAGATCAGTGCTTCTTGTTCCTTTTCAGAAAACAGATACAAGTTATGAGGTAACATTTAACCTTATTGTACAAACTGAGATTTAGCATCTAATCATATGTTCAGTAAGAAACTTAACTAAAATGACACAATTTAAACCAATGTAAAATTGCAAGTTAGAACATTAAAAAATCTAAACAGTTGAATCTAGTCTTGATCAACTGTTTCCAAGTTTTTCTATCCATACTCAATTGCTATTTGTACTTTTTAACTGTGTAGTAGATAAGTAATAGTGTGTGGAAAAGGTTTAAAAGCAATCTTTAAAAGAAATACTTAAAATTGAACAAATTCTATTTGTTAGTTTACATTTTTCTATGTGCACATCAAAGAAAGGCCATTGTTACTTAATTCTGGCAGAATAGTTTGACAAGCACTTTGCCTGGATGTTTTTT